GTCAGTTGGTTTCAGGGTTCGGTTGGGGTTCTGGAAGTGTGAGAGCCAGTATAGTATCCTAGCAGGAACAACTATAATTTTAGGTGTAGTATTTACATGTGTATGTCATGGTGTCATAAGGGATGTGAATATATGTCTTGGAATGGTTATGTGAAGGGATTGTTTACTGGCATAGAAGTAGTCTTTACCAAAGTACCTCAACCACCTGTAGCCTAGTTATTTGCAAAGTGGCTTTACTTACATGCATGTCTCCACCCCCCTCTACTATGGATTGGATTACAGTTTTAGTGCATGATAGACCTAATCAGACTGTCATGATTGGTAGCAAATGCAATCAATGGTATTTGTTACCGAGAATGACGCACCCTCCAGAGACGAAGTCCCAAAACCATGCTATGATGCTTGACTTAAACTGAGACACTTTTTATCTAGGGCAGAAGGTGCACAAATCAAAAATAAAAGAAAGGCATGACATAGAAAAGAGAAGATCAACCCAACTTTTTAAAGTCCCCCACCATGTTTACAGTACAATCATAAACACAACTATGACCACAAAAACTCATTACTGAGATCAGTCAAGTAGTTCATCACTGTGGGTCTGTGAAAACATTTATTTTGTAATTATCAACACCTGCTTTTCCTAATTCATGTATATAATGTATTTTTAAATTTTTCATTATATTTCTTTAACATGTTTTAATAGTTATCTGTGCTATATTATACATTGACCTTCACGCATGCATATTTTCACTACTGGGAGGCTTGGCTGTGAGTCACCATTTCATGACAAATACTGGTGAGAAATGTTTTGTTTGAATTGTTGTGTTGACTACGATAATTTTTAAAACAATATAGTGACTGTGCAGAGGCTTGATATTTGACGCCATCAAGTGCCTGAAATAGTGAGAAAAGTGATTAGAAACCACGCAATTTAGACCGTAGACGGAAGCAAAGAAAAGTTTGGTGTTTTTCTATATAAAGGTGTGTGGTTTTATTCTGACTAGAGAATATATATTATATATTTTATAAATCCCACCAGGTCAGGTGGCAGTATTAAACTTATAGAGATTCAGGGTGCTCTGCTCCCTGGCTAGGCATATATAATACCATAGGGGTCCAGGTGGCAGAGAATATATAGATCGTAGTCTATTAAACTCACCTCCTGGCTGGGCACTAATAAGACCATAGGGGTGTAGGAGGTAGAACACCCCTGGCTAAGAAATATATTGATTGTCAAGTATAAATTCCATAGGGTTAAAATTAGGTGGGTTAATTGGTCTGGATGCATTGTACGATTCCCACTGGGGTTTTGATTGTGTGAAATCCCATAGATTTTACCAAGTGATGGGTTTGATTGCTGTATTTTTTTGAAAATTTGCATGTTGGTTCATAAACTTTAAAGAATGGCAGACATGTCCGTAGTGTTTCATTAGCCAATTTTAAGTGTTTTTTTATGCAGATTTTATGTATTTATATTCTATATTCTTGCTTTAGCCTGTTTTACCTTGTAATTTCCCTGATATATTTCATGCCATTCCCTGCCATCAGGGCTTATCACATCAAGAGTGTTGGCTGTGATTGCAATGGAAATGATCATCAGATTTTTTCTCATCACACAAGAATGAACCTGATAATATAAATATTCTCTGGGAAGATCCAATTGTTATAGTTGAAAAGTTAACTGAAACAGGATATTCTACAGTAGCTCTTTTGACTGTCTTCATTATAGAAAAGATGCACTTATCTATAAGGAACAAATTATTCCTAGATGTTCACTTGGTAGTAATTCTTTACAATACAGATGCACAGAGACCCCACAACATTTTTCATCAGTTTAAGTTGTCATGATTGAGTGTGCCCTTCAGGCACTGGAGGTTTGATGGGGGGCTCGGCCTCCTAACACCCCCATCAAATATTGTCTTAATGGCAAGATGGAGCTGAAACTTGGGAGCACAGTGAGCTTTCTGCTAACTTTTTTCCGTATTTAAGGTGTTACTGTTCGTGTCTGCAGATTATTCCTTATACTGAGGACCATATTTTTCCTCGACAAGAATATAATTTTCAGTTTGCCCTGGCTTAGTGCATCCATAAGATTAACCATTCAGTTTGCTAGTAGATTACCAATGAAAATTACCATTAAATCAACAGGCTGATCATAAACAAGGACTGAAGTTGCTTGTTTTGGGTATCATAACATTTGACTCTTCTGCTATTCTGGAGCCAGTTCATGCATGGTCAAGATGTGTGTGTGTGTGATTGCTGTGTGGTTTCAGTGCACTCGGGAGATTTATCATAAAGGTTGGAGGCAACTATGATCGCTGTGCATATAGTACACATATGGGCGAGCACATCATAAAAAAATCACATAATATTCATTTTTGTTTTACATTAGGCAGTATTTAGATATATTTTATATATTGGTATATGTTGACATGATGGTTACATTAAGACAGAAAACATCTTAGAACTCTGTTATGAAGAGAGGGAAAAAGTGGCACTCATATATGTATGTAATAATCTGGACAGGGTTTTATATATATATATATATATATATATATATATATATATATATATATATATATATATATATATATATATATATATATATATATATATATATATATATATATATAAAATCAGAAATGAAGGAAATAGGTTGCTACAAGTCCATGGTAGTTGGGTGGGGGTCTAGGGGAAAAGCCCAAACTCAAGAAGGTTTTTGCTTTATACAACAAATGATATGTATTCCTAGTAATGCATCCAATGTTATGAGTGGGAAGTGAGACTGTAAGTGACACTTACCTCTATAATTTGTCTCCCTTCCCCCAACCAAAACAATAATTTCCCAAATAATGTTTTGTTCAGTGTTTTCACACGTGGCCCCATGAGTGCAAAACGACCAATCAGGAGTCAGTTAGGCTAGCCTAGTAGACCAACATGACTTCCCCTTTCCTTGAGTTTTCAGGATTTATTTTTAAGGGGGCCGTCCCGAATGAAACCTACCTTGCTCCAGTTGTTTGATCATAAAAAGACAATAGTTTTAGATAACTATTAATTTTTTTGCATGTTATAGAGTATATAATTGCACTTGTATATCATTTTAACCCTGACTTCCATAAGGGGAGTGTGAGCCCCAAACAAATGTGAAATAAAAATAATGGTGTGTGTTACCATTCATAGATTGTATTTTTCTTGATTTAGTTAATAAATATTCTACAACAATATGAACACTACGCAATGAGTGTGTAAGGGCCTGTTTGTCATTGTAAACTATATTTGGGCCATTTTTTTTCTGCTTTAGGTAAAACCATATTTTGATTTATTTTCTGGAATTCAAAAATCAGGCTTCTTACACACCCTGCACATTCTGATGAACTCATGAATTTAGTTGACGGATTTTGAGGCGTACAGAAATTATGACCACTGGCAACTTATGTAAACAGAGTTGAGAACAGGCCATTGGAAATTTGGACACTTGCCAACGTTTGTTATCTCTCTTATTTTTTAACTAAAGCTAATGATATTACATGTAAAAAGAGCTCATTAATGTACTCTTATTATTTTCAATAGGGATCATATTTTGTAAAGGTATCTCTTCTTTTGTGATACGAAAGTTTAGATTCTCATCTGAAATGTTTAATAAATGCATTAAATCATAAAGGTATCTAATCTAAACCAGAAAATACTAATTGTTATTTAATCAGATAATTTATCTTTTTAGTTTGATTGAATTTTTTTACAAATTTTATTATGAAGAAATGGTGAACTATGGATGGCAATATCAGTACAAAATTATAATCACATAATCCTAGCATGAATACAACATATTGGTTCAATTTTGAGATTTATAGAAGCATATACTGCAAACAATGGGGAGGGTGTGCTGGTCACTGGTTAAGCGTTTGAATCATCCTCATTTATTAGGACTAAACCCATTTTTATATGCAGGAAATATTATTAGTTACCCTATAAATCAGATTTGTTTTCTTCAACCTGTTCTATATGGTGATGCCAGTTTCGACATCATGAAGCACCAATGGAATATTCTGTGATGTCAACGTTGACATCACAATTCCATTTTATTTTAGTTGCTACTGAATGATCCCAATATTCTTTTCTGGCTCTATTATTTAGACTCTATATATTGAGCCTCTGGGTTAGTACCGTGGTAATATGTCGGCGTCTCATCTGAGGGGTTGGTGGTTCATGCCCTGCCCAGGTGTGAGGAGTTGCAATTGTCGCCTGTAGGTTACTGCTGTGGCTGGGCACCACGGCAGATAAGGACTAAGGTCATCCGACTCAGCACCAGCTGACACATGTTAGCAAGTTAGCATTAGTTGACACAGGCCGGGCTCCCCTCGTGGACATAGCCCGGGCAAGGCTCAGCTTCCCCTATTGGACCTATCCTTATCCGTATATTGCCCTAGAAATCCTATAGCTCCTCGCACCATCCCTCTTCCCACAAATCATGTAAATCAGCTAGACTGTACCGCACCCTCTACCCATGATGAGAGAGATAGAGATACAGGTAGAAAGAGAGAGAGAGACAGTTTTACCTTTGTTTACCATGAAATGAACTTGAGACTTCTATGTATTTACAGCCTATGGTAGTGTCTATAGGCTACATTTTTTACTAGAAATACATAAAAAAGGTGCAATAACTATTTCAATTCTTAACGAAGACCATTCATAAGATTTTCAAAATTTTGTATAGTTTTTATTTTAGAGCAGGTATCATTGTGTACTATCATCTTAAGAGTAAAATAATCTACCTCACTTATTTTTCAGAAATTAAAAAATCTGTCCCTGACATACCATTTGTATGGAAGTGCACTTTACAATGAAAACACCTAATTTCAAATCAAAACTAATTTGAAGAGGTAAAACGGTACCGACTGTTAAAATAATGCTAAACCTAATATTGTTATCATTATTTAAACTTATTTTTTAACTTTAGTACTTCATACTAGGTATACATACAGACCCCTTTATATACTACA